TGCAACAGACCAAGAAATCCTGTCCTCGTGGGCAAGGATGCAAGAGAGGAGCACAGCTTGCAACAAAACCGAGTTCAGAAGGTGGAGCCAGGCTTCTGGGGTTGATTATTCCCAGCATTCACTCTTGCTGAGTGACAAGCTGAAGTCCCAGAACCTTCTGAGACCAATCACCCAATACATGCATGATTATATGCATGGGCTCTGCCCAAATGGTGTGCTGAACTGGGTATTTTTTTTTGTGGATCCAACCGCTTGCTTCCAGTGGTGTGGCTGAGATTTGGAAGGCACATGGCTTTGTGCAACTTTGGGCCCAGCCTGCCATTCACAAATGCAATTTGCAAAGGTTATTTCTGCCCAAAGCAGTGGAAGGCCACAAAAAAGCTGGGAAATTCAAATGCTCATCCTCAGAGATTCTGGGTCTGTACCAGGTGCTGGCACACTATGTCCAAATTTGCTGCTTGCCTAATGGCATTTGCCTTCTGGGGCCAACTTGCTCTTTGGCTTGGTGCAAAGTTTTGGATTATTGCCTATCCATCCCTGCTTTGGAAAAGCCTGACCACAAGCAATTGCTTTCATTTGTTGAAGCAGCATTGGAGGCAACTGTTGCAGCTGACTGGTCTGAAGAATTCGAGCCAAAGATGCACTGGTCACTTCATATTATAGTCAAAGTCTCCAGAGGCATGGCCAACTACCTGCATGCTGGACCATGGAAAGGAAGCACAAAGGCATTAGAAAACATGGGAATGTCTTGTGCAACACTACCCATTGGGAAACTTCTTTGATGAAGTCTGTCATTGCAGAGCACATCTGTACATTGGGTGAAGAGTCAAGATTGTTAGAGAAGGCACCTGCCTACAAAATGCAAAGGGGGCCCCACAAAGAAGATGACGGCATTCCTATATTTCTATGCAATGCTGGAGTGGTTCCTGTGGGAATGCCTTGCATGCAGAGCTCTTGTTGTAAACTTTTCTGGGGCAACAATTACTTCTGGTGATGTTGTCTGTTTGCACAATGTGGATGGAGGCTCACCAGCTTTCAATGCAGCTCAAGAGCATTGCTTTTTGAAAGTCCCATGTGGTGATGTGGCCCTTGTCGAAAAATATTTGTTCCCGGAAATTTCAAACAAACAAAATGTTTCCAAATGGACAGTGGCGGTGCCCAGAAATCCGGGTCTTGCTTCTTTACAAGAAATCTCGTGTGCTGTCACTTACAATGCTGCCAAAGGCAGGGTGACATGCCTCACCCCTGCATTCTTGCAACTTTGAAGGGACATGCAATTTCCATCCACAGCAAATGTCTTTGGAAAACAAGCTTCGGTGGTATGCACAACAGCCGCACCGTTTTATTTTTACTAATCTTTCTGAAGCCTGCTGCAAAGCCAACCGCTGGAAACACTTCAGCTGGGTTTCCGTGAGTTAAATGGCCACAAATCCTGTTGAACTTCACCTCACTCTGCACCAAAGCCTCCCGGAACCTTCTCCGGAACCTTCACCAGAACCCTGTTGAACCTAACCTGGCTCTGTACCAAAGCCTCCCGGAACCTTCTCCGGAAACCCGGAGCCCTGTTGAGCCTGCCCTGGCTCTGCACCAAAGCCTCCCGGAACTTTATCCGGAACCCTGTTGAACCTACCAAAAGGCTCTGGAGGATTAAAAGGATTAAAAGGATTAAATCATTTAATCCTTTTAATCATTTTAATCCTTTTAATCCTCCAAACCTCCCCGAATCCCGAGAAAAGCCCCGCACTTTAATTCTTTAAATCCTTTTAATCCTTTTAATCCTTTTAATCCTTTTAATCCTCCAAACCTCCCCGAATCCCGAGAAAAGCCCCGCACTTTAATTCTTTAAATCCTTTTAATCCTTTTAATCCTCCAAAAGGCTCTGGAGGATTAAAAGGATTAAACGGATTAAAAGGATTAAAAGGATTAAAAGGATTAAATCATTTAATCCGTTTAATCCTTTTAATCCCCCAAAAGGCTCTGGAGGATTAAAAGGATTAAATGGATTTAAATATATTTCTCAAGGGCTTGGACCGGGAATTCCGGACCCCCTGGAGGATTAAAAGGATTAAAAGGATTAAATCATTTAATCCTTTTATTCCTTTTAATCCACCAAAAGGCTCTGGAGGATTAAAAGGATTAAAAGGATTAAATCATTTAATCCTTTTAATCCTTTTAATCCTCCAAAAGGCACGGGGGGATTAAAAGGATTAAAAGGATTAAATCATTTAATCCTTTTAATCCTCCAAAGCCTCTGGAGGACTAAAAGGATTAAAAGGATTAAATGCTTGGTCCTCACATTGGGGTTCTGGGGGCTCTGGAGGATTAAAAGGATTAAAAGGATTAAAGGGATTAAAAGGATTAAATGACTTAATCCTTTTAATCCTTTTAATCCCCCAAAAGCTCTGGAGGATTAAAAGGATTAAAAGGATTAAAAGGAATAAATCATTTAATCCTTTTAATCCATTTAATCCCCCAAAGGCTCTGGAGGATTAAAAGGATTAAAAGGATTTAATCATTTAATCCTTTTAATCCTTTTAATCCTTTTAATCCTTTTAATCCCCCAGAGATCTGGAGTCTAAGGCCCAAGCATTGGATTAAATGATTTAATCCTTTTAATCCTTTTAATCCCCCAAAGGCTCTGGAGGATTAAAAGGATTAAAAGGATTAAAAGGATTAAATCCTTTTAATCCTTTTAATCCTCCAAAAGGCACGGGGGGATTAAAAGGATTAAAAGGATTAAATCATTTAATCCGTTTAATCCTTTTAATCCCCCAAAAGGCTCTGGAGGATTAAAAGGATTAAATGGATTTAAATATATTTCTCAAGGGCTTGGACCGGGAATTCCGGACCCCCTGGAGGATTAAGGATTAAAAGGATTAAAAGAATTAAATCATTTAATCCTTTTAATCCTTTTAATCCACCAAAAAGGCTCTGGAGGATTAAAAGGATTAAAAGGATTAAATGATTTAATCCTTTTAATCCTTTTAATCCCCCCGTGCCTTTTGGAGGATTAAAAGGATTAAAAGGATTAAATGCTTGGTCCTCACATTGGGGTTCTGGGGGCTCTGGAGGATTAAAAGGATTAAAAGGATTAAAGGGATTAAAAGGATTAAATGATTTAATCCTTTTAATCCGTTTAATCCCCCAAAAGCTCTGGAGGATTAAACGGATTAAAAGGATTAAATCATTTAATCCTTTTAATCCTTTTAATCCTCCAAAGCCTCTGGAGGATTAAAAGGATTAAAAGGATTAAATGCTTGGTCCTCACATTGGGGTTCTGGGGGCTCTGGAGGATTAAAAGGATTAAAAGGATTAAATCATTTAATCCTTTTAATCCTTTTAATCCCCCAAAAGCTCTGGAGGATTAAAAGGATTAAAAGGATTAAATCATTTAATCCTTTTAATCCATTTAATCCCCCAAAGGGGCTGGAGGATTAAAAGGATTAAAAGAATTAAATCATTTAATCCTTTTAATCCGTTTAATCCCCCAAAAGCTCTGGAGGATTAAAAGGATTAAAAAGATTAAATTATTTAATCCTTTTAATCCTTTTAATCCCCCAGAGATCTGGAGTCTAAGGCCCAAGCATTGGATCAAATGATCTAATCCTTTTAATCCTTTTAATCCCCCAAAGCCTCTGGAGGATTAAAAGGATTAAAAGGATTAAATGCGTGGTCCTCACATTGGGGTTCTGGGGGCTCTGGAGGATTAAAATGATTAAAAGGATTAAAAGGATTAAAAGGATTAAATGATTTAATCCTTTTAATCCTTTTAATCCCCCAAAGGCTCTGGAGGATTAAAAGGATTAAAAGGATTAAATCATTTAATCCTTTTAATCCATTTAATCCCCCAAAGGCTCTGGAGGATTAAAAGGATTAAAAGGATTTAATCCTTTTAATCCTTTTAATCCTTTTAATCCTCCAGAGCCCCCAGAACCACAATGTGAGGACCAAGCATTTAATCCTTTTAATCCTTTTAATCCTCCAGAGGCTTTGGAGGATTAAAAGGATTAAAAGGATTAAATCATTTAATCCAATGCTTGGGCCTTAGACTCCAGATCTCTGGGGGATTAAAAGGATTAAAAGGATTAAAAGGATTAAATGATTTAATCCTTTTAATCCTTTTAATCCCCCAAAGGCTCTGGAGGATTAAAAGGATTAAAAGGATTTAATCATTTAATCCTTTTAATCCATTTAATCCCCCAAAGGCTCTGGAGGATTAAAAGGATTAAAAGGATTAAATCATTTAATCCTTTTAATCCTTTTAATCCTCCAAAGCCTCTGGAGGACTAAAAGGATTAAAAGGATTAAATGCTTGGTCCTCACATTGGGGTTCTGGGGGCTCTGGAGGATTAAAAGGATTAAAGGGATTAAAAGGATTAAATGATTTAATCATTTTAATCCTTTTAATCCCCTAAAAGCTCTGGAGGATTAAAAGGATTAAAAGGATTAAATCATTTAATCCTTTTAATCCATTTAATCCCCCAAAGGCTCTGGAGGATTAAAAGGATTAAAAGGATTAAATCATTTAATCCTTTTAATCCTTTTAATCCTTTTAATCCTTTTAACCCCCCAGAGATCTGGAGTCTAAGGCCCAAGCATTGGATTAAATGATTTAATCCTTTTAATCCTTTTAATCCTCCAAAGCCTCTGGAGGATTAAAAGGATTAAAAGGATTAAATGCGTGGTCATCACATTGGGGTTCTGGGGGCTCTGGAGGATTAAAAGGATTAAATCATTTAATTCTTTAAATCCTCTCAATTTTCCAAAAAGCTTTAAAATTTATCATAATTAACCGGAACAAAATGGTACCTAAAGGTCTCTCGATCATATATATATATATATCACTGCATATGCAAATAGGTTCTACTGCAGATTTTAAGCGAAGATATTTGATTTTATCATCAGCGCTTCATCTGAGGCACAAGTGGTGACCGACATAGACTCAACCGTGACACAGGTGGGAAGGAAGTTGCTGAAGGACCACTTCTCCAGCTGCAGCCATGGCGGGAATGGCCAAGTATGACAGAAGTATCTACCAAAACTGTATTAGTACTGTATTAGTACTGTATTAGTACTGTATTAGTACTGTATTAGTACTGTATGGCTATGGTTATATGCATGTCGTATACCGCTGTATATGCGATGTGCAGCGCCATGGTGAGGACAAGTCGGCACCGTGGCAGATCCGAGTGCGGCGTCTGCAAGCCTGGCACTGCTTGGGGGAGATCTTCTACGAGGAGAGCCAGATCCAGCCAGTGTTGATATGACTTTGTCTGAAAATAGGGGAGTGGTACCCCGGCTAAATCGAAACCGATTTATCATTTACTGTATTTTCCTATTTTTTCGGACCCATAGTTTATCATTTCATATAGTGGATAAAATTTCCCACAGTTTTGGACATATTTTAAGATTTTCCCATTTTTCATTTGTCATTTTCCCACAGTTTTGCTGTAGATTCGGCCATATTTTCACCGTCCAAGGAGGGCACCAAGGCCCTGGAAGCTTCGGGCGAATCTGCCAAGAACCTGACGGAAGGGGTCGGGAAGGCCGGGCGGATGCGATGGCTGCCATGCTTCAAAGTGGCTGGCTGGTTTCGAAGCATAGACCAGTAGAGATAGCCAATTTATGACGGTTTATCCAACCATAGTTAGTTTATAATGATAATAAACAACAAACAAATAATAATCAATAGTCAATAATAATTGATCATGACCAATAATAATCAATGATAAACAATAGAATGTTTCAACAATTGTTTTTGGTTTCCTTGCTGTGTTTTAAAGATCTATTGACTATTAGTGATTCCTATTTATTCTTCAAGACTGGCCACATTAGGGCTAATGATTCCCAATAATGACTAGTTCGAAGCACCAATCTGTTTCGTTATGAATTATGTATGCAAAGTGCTGGCAAAACCTCAGAAAACATATCGACACCTGGTCATGTGAATCTGTGGGATGAGTGGCGAGCTGGGAAATCCATTAAACAAATGGGGGTTTCCATAAATGGTATCCCAAAATGTTTGGCTTATGGAAAATCCACCTTGATCTATAATGGATGATTTAGGGGTACCGCCATGACTTTGGAAACTCCCAAATGGAGGATTTTTTGTAGAGGCTAGTCGTGTTGGTCTCATGTCAGGCCTTTGTGGCTTTCAAAGCGGAGCGATGCAGATCGTCCTGAAATTGTGAGAGGCTTGGCGGCTGCACCACTTGGTACCACTCGCTGTACCCCTGAATTTGTGGTGCTATTCAAGCAGCCCAGTAGCCTTTAGAAGAAAAGCCTCTGCATGCTTTCTTACATTGACATCCCAGCACATAAAGCGTAACTGTGAGATTTCTAGAATCGTACAGGTCTAAAAGCTGCACACCGCAACCCAGGTTTCTGTGAAAATGGGGCCCAAATCTAGTAGTGCATTGTGAATCACCCTGACCTCGAGACCCTGGCGTGACAATCTCAGAATATCCATGTCTGAACATGCGAAACAATTTCCCCAATTTGTGAATCATATTCATCCATTCATATTCCACATTCATCAAAGATTGCCCATATGGTGGTTTCCTTAAAATGGGGGTACCAAATCATCCAAGTCATGGATGACCATGCGGGTTCTTGGGATCCTCCAATTGAAGAAACGCTAAAAACACAGAGCTGCGGGCACTGGGGGTACAGCCAGGTCGCAGGACAGCGGAGGACACGCTAATAGGATCATGACTTCTTGGTGGTTGTTCACCGTGAATGAGATATGATAGGATTGTATGTTGGGGAAACAGAACCAACTTATGGATCTGGTTGGTGGTTTCTTAAGTATTTTCGGTTTCAATTCGATTTATATAGAGTATTATTTTCCCGAACTGACTCCCTTTTGTTGGATGGGTTAGAAGCACCAACCAGATGATTACCACAAATCAATACAAATCATGATTTTACATTTTCCTCATTGCAGGATTGTGTGAAACAAACTCTGAAGATGCAAAGCCCCAGCCACACTCTGCGAGTGTTTGCTTTAAGTTCGGAGATTCCTGTGCGGTCCTCATTGTGCGAAGTCTACCACGTTGCTGAGTTCTTCCCTGTAGTGAAACCGTTGCAACAACGTGGGCACGTTTCTTTCATGAAGCGGTCCAAAGCCAAACAGGGCGCCCTGCCTGATCTGCACCTTCGGACTTGCAGATGCTAAGCGAGTTACCTGGATCCAAGATCTAAAATAGAATGCATTAGAGACTATGTAAGTAAGTGGGGATGCTGATGAGAGACATGGCTGTGCCAGAGCCCATCCACTATCCTAATCCCCATCGTGTTTAGATTCTTGGGCATTTCACTTGCTTTCTCCACACTGTGCTGGTTGCAAGACTGATCTACCTACTGACTACCTAGAACTTCTCTAAAATGGGGCTCACTTGCACTTTCCCATTCAGTCTTACAGTGCCACTTCCATTCGTGCATGCCTTAAAGGGTTCTTTCGAGATCGCAGGGTGCAGAGGCACTTTGAAGTGTGGATATTGTGCTTTGTCTACAGTGCAGAGTTTTGATACATCGTACCGAGAAGTGGTGCTGATGCTGCGTAGTGGTAGTCTTAGAAGCAATATTAAACACGTCGTACCTTGTAGTGTGTAGGAGTACTTGATAAAACATTCTGTTCGCAATAGTGTAATCAGATGGAGCATTTTGTAGGATAGAGCAGGGGCACATTGTACTTTTCAGAGCATTGTTGTACTTTGTAGATCTTTGTGCAGCAGGTCTAAGTTTTGCGCAATGTCACAGAAGTATGCATACAAGTGAGCCGGTTTGCACATACTGTCTTCTTTTGCGGCAGATGATGCTACCTTGCTTCTGGGACTGGAGTGCGGGGAAAGGTTGAGGGGATATAGTGGAGTGGTGGGCTCACTTGCACTTCCGTGCTTGAGTGCCGAGGGTGTACATGGTTTTCATGTGCACATGCAATTGCATCTGGGATCCAAATAGATTGCCTATGCCTATGCTTCTCAGTGTTTAGCTTTTCTTGTTTTTTTTTTACATTTTAGAGATTTCAAAGAGAAACTATGATTGATGTTGTGCTGGAAAGTGTTTGAGTGAAGATTTGCGTAGATGTAGCTGCAAAGACAACACTGAAAGGACCTTCCAACAAAAAGCAATATACGTCTATATACACATATAAAACCACATCATGTGAGAAGCACTTCCCGACACTTTGACAAAGTTAAAAACCCTTTAAAACTTGACGATACTTGTTTTTGTCAGCATTTCGATGGCCAAATGCTCCCGCAGTGCCACAGTACTAGTGGGGTAGCTGCACAGAGGGCATGTAAAAGGCAACGGATGTGGGCAATGTGTGGTTTGAATTGGGCAATGGCAATGTGCCCACACAGAAAGTCTTACACTTTGAGTCTTTATTTTTGCGCACAGAACAGAGCTGATGCTTTAAGTCTTGTTTTGCATGCACTGTGGGGCGCTCGCCAAACACAAAGACAAAGAACATAACACACACACACAAACAGTATTCACGGTATTTTCACATAATGCTCAGATCTTGGGCATGGTCACTATGTGTTTGCTGGACTGCAAGGTTCGCAGGGAGCAGACGTGGAAGGCAGAATCAACGGTCTGTAAGAATTTTTGTTGAAACACCTTGGAGACTGATTGCCGTCGACGGTGTGGACATAGATAGCTGACGGCTTTATCGAAACTCCTATTGTTTCAAGATCATTGCTATCAGACTCCTCATGGCTCCACCTTCCGAATAGGTGAGTGGAGTCTTCCAAGCAGGTGTTGCAAGCTGACCTTCCATTTGCCGAAGACTTGAAAAGCAATGGAGTAGTTACTGAGTAGTTGATCCGAGTGTCGCACGTGCAAACGGAGGCTCAATTGCTGAAGTGTACAGATTCCTCCCGAGTCGTGACCGATCCGTCTTTATCGCTGAAAAAAAACGCCTGCAGTGGGTAGGAACGCCGTCGCCTCGCCATCTGCAGTCGCATTTGCAGGCACCATCCTTCATCATCCAAGGGTGGAATGAAATCCAGGGTGACCTGGTATCTCCCTGGCAGGTTGGGAAGCTGCTGATGGCCTGGGAAAAACGTCAAGGTGGGAGGGGCAGATCAAGGGGCCCTTTTTCAAGTACCGGAAGGCAGATTTCACCCACAGGTGAGTTTATATCTCACCACCCACAACCATTACACATATCAAAGCTGGGACTTGGCGATGGGGAAAACTGGCAGACTATATGTTTTTTGTAGTTGGTGAAGTTTGTGCAGTTGCCAGGCAACTCAACACACCAATAGCACCAATTGCACACCCCGACGGCGCATCTGCACGAATGGAGCAGTGCAACTCCGCCAGTCGCACCAACTGCAGCACCTGTATCATGTACACTTTGAATCCTGGCAGTCCTGAGTTGGTGCGGCGAACCGGAAATGAGAATCTTCACCCGTGGCACGCCGGTGAGGCATGCGTCCCTTTCTGCTATCCGGAATTCGCAGCTGTCACCAGGCCCAAAGGGAAATGCTGTCATAGATGTTGCAAACATTTGCAAACCCTTGCTGCGAAGGGAACGAAGGGACTTTTCAAATGCTAGATAGTTTGGAGATGAGGTATATAGATGGATAGTTTGTAGGTTGCATGTTTCTATGCTCTATGCGTATCTACGTCCACTTGTGCTGCTACCGTCTCTCCAGTTTGTCTCTAGATGTGACTGGTTTAGCATGATTGTCAAAGTTGACCCTCCTTAGAACGCCGAGTGTGGTGAAAGCATGATCACTCTTAACGGGAGTCAATGGAATGTTGTCCATGTTGTCCTGAGCAGCACCAGTGACGCTCTTGCCGAGGTCATCCGACGTGAAGATGCTCTGGCCGTACCTCGGAAACAGAGGATACGACCTTGCATTCTTTTGCATCAGTTGTGGGGAATCTGATCGCTTTTGAGTGGTTTCAAGGACAGTTCAAGGGTGGCTGCTGCCAGACTCCCCAGGGCTCAACTCTCTGAGTCGTTGAGTTGAGTTTTTGTGATGTTGCAAGCTGGGCTTCCGTTTGCCGAGAGCTCGAATGTAATTCAGTAATTGATCCAAGTGCCATGCGTGCTGGAACACCTTTTACACATTCTGAAGGCAAATGGAAGGATTTCATCACCTTGTACTCTACATATCCATGACGGTAAGTTGCGTGCCCATTCGTCTTCATCGCTAGTGCAGCGCCAAGAAAAAGCTTTTTGGATGTCTCATTTTTAGTGCACTATTCTCCACTATATCCATCCATCCACATCCGGCACCTGTGGGATCACCAGGAGAAGCTGCTGATGACTTCAAGGTGGGAGCGGGTCAAGGGGGGAAAGTACCAGCATGTGTAAGAGCTGGAAATGGAAAAATGGGCTTTAGCCCAAAATTGGGCCAGTTTTTTTCGCAGTGTGGTTGTGGCCATGGGGGAAGTGGATGCAGTTGATAGTCAATTGCTGGGCTCCTAGGCCATGTGACCCACAGGCAGCTCGATCGTGCCTCCATAGTGCCCCGTTGTTTGGGAACGGACAAACATGGACAAACAGTCGGGCAGAACAAATATTACATCTGACTACATTCTTGATTCTTTATCATTGCAAGTCTATCCGATGACCCCAGAAGGGAATCCACTTGATTCGGCTGGAATCAGAGAATTGAACTTTCCTCAATGCCCAACGCAGGGAATCTCGCCTTCTCATGTTTTTTCATCATGTGTTGGACTGCTGCCTGTCCAGGTTTCGCCCGCACAGCCTGGAGATGGCAGAGGAAAAGGGTGTCCAGCTGCAGAGATTTTGGGCAGATTCGATGTTGTGAATCATCACAGCCGGTGCTACATAAGGTCTTGGAAAAGATAAAGGACACACCAAATCAGCTGTGTTACTTTCGCTTCAGTACATGGGGGGTTCAACAAACCCAGGGGTCTCTCTCTTGAAGGGGACCAATCTTCAGGTTTCGCACCCCCTTCATCCAACATGCTTTTGCACCAAACACATCCAAAAAACCTCTTGAATCCTCTTGACATTGGTCTTGGTCAGTTCCTGTTGGTGCTTGTTTTGCCAGCTGTGCAAGTGTCGGAAAATTGTAACATGGCCTCCAGCTTCACATCCATATGCCGTTCGAGATTCCGCTCTTCCTTGGCATTTTGTATAATTTGCCGCCGAAAGCTGGAGATTTCCCAGCACCAAAAAGACGACAGGAGGGATCAAAACACGGACTGCTCGGCTGTCAGTTGGCTCAAACATTTCACCACCGACTGGTGGGCCGGTAGCAATGGCGACAGATTCCGCAAGGCTAAAATTGGAGTCTTGGTTTTCCCAGGATGTTCCATGAAGAAGTCCCCTTCAAATGACAGCGGAACTGTTTCTAACTGAGGAACACAGTGTAACACAGTGTAATCTTGGATGTTTGTTGACAACCGACCTGGCACAACGTGCTCGGGTAATCTTTTGATGAGATTGTGGAGGTGAGACTGCGAAACGGCGTGATATCCGTTGTATCCATGTACAGTATGCGGTTGCAAGTTAGGATGACCACCAGGGGCCAACAAACCCGGGGTCACGAGAACGGTTTGGCAATCTAGGCGTGGAGATGACAATTCTCGGCGGATCCTTTCCGTCAGTTTTTACCACAATTATCCATGATTTCCGATTGATATTTCCTGGTTCTGAACCAGACTCCCACCGACGACTCGTCTAAGGAGAAGGTCTACCACTGGTTCGACACCTTCCACAACACCGAGCCCGAACGGCATCCCGGGAAGACCGGATGTTGCCTGACGCTGTTGATGGTCCCGGCGGTGCTGATCTACGGCATTGTGTGGTTCGTGCAGCATCAGCAGAAACCGCCAGTGGAGACCCTGGTGATTGACTGGTCCATCTCCTATAGACCATATCCCATGAAGGTGTCCTGTCACGAGGCGATGCTGACACATGGGTGGCAGATGGCTAGAGGGAAGTCCAAGAGGTCAAATGCGTTGCTCTTGGGAATTGCACACTGGTGCAATTACTGTATAAATACTGCAGTGTAGCAAAAGAAAATTGGCACGACTTTTGTTGGCCTCCATTGAAAGTTGATGACTATCTTGCCGGCTGAAAGGGGTGTTCGCTGTTTTATTTTTTTTCCTTTGACCATAGTAGATTAGTAGGTATATGGATTTTCTGGATGTCAGTCTCCGGATGACACATGATCACCACACACCACCTTGGAGAACCAGGGAGCGAGCTGCTGGCTGTACCTCTCGGGTTGCGAATCTGAAAGTTCAGGCGGCCCAGTGGCGGCTGATTTCGCCAATTCCCTGCATCGGGTGAAAGTGTCGCAGCCAGATACAGCTTATTTCAACGATTGAGCATTTGAGCCCCTCATCCCTGCAGACTGTGAAAAGAACAAGCAGTGGCAGATGGTGGCAGCATCAAAGCTGTCATGAGTCATGATGCTCAAGAATGGATTGAAGTATGTAATTTGATCAATAGTTGAACTCTCTGGAAATCAAGGCTCGTCATGAATGGCATGGCTGCACCATCTTTGGCCTTTTGGTATCCTCATCCGGCTGCGATCCGCCAGGTAGATGTATTTCCCTGGCAGCCGGCCAAGAACTAGAGCTGCAGATGTGCTACTCCCTAGCCGCCCGAGAAGGCAGCCTGGCGGATGTGGACAGGTGGACAGGTGGACAGGTGGACAGGTGGACAGGTGGACAGGTGTATGGAGTTTGTCTTAAGAATTGAGGATTTACATGATTTACCATCAAGATATATGCAAACCATGTTTTTTCTTTTGGGTCTTTTGGGTTAGAACCCCATCTACAATAATTGCTGCGGCTTGCAAACTAGTTGTAGCTTGATTCTCCACGTTTGATGTGAAGCACTAGAGTCAGATGCGTCAGCCGATTGTGAAAACAGCATTGAAAACATACACAGCCCACCTTTGAAGCGTGCATGAACCAATAAGTTCCAGATTCAAAGAAACATCATAAACAGCATCAGTAAGTGATATCAAGCATCATGTCATCAACATCAAATAGCATTTTTCTCACAGACTTTACTGCTCAAAATGAGGCTGAGGAGGACCAGCGCTTGGCTGAACGAAAGCAGCGCTTGGTGTCCAAGCGCTGCTTTCGTTCAGCAGAAGATGCAAAAGGCGGTGGTCAAACTTAGTGAAGATGGGATAATCATGGATACGGATAATACATATATAATTAATTATATAATATATAATACATATATATATATATTGATAATATGGGTGGATTGGTGAACAAACCAATCCGAGTTTGTTGAGTTTGTGCCTTTCTTTCGGATGCATTTGGAGCGGACATCTTTCGGACATGCCATCCACTGTGCACCATAAGGGGCCTTCACCATCACTCCTCGTAATTGCACTAATTACAAGTTAAGGAAAGACTGGGAATCATCCGCCCAACCCAAGAGGCTAGCTTGGACGAGAAAGCTCAGCTGCAGGCAGGAGACGAAAAGACTGAACAATTGCTGCGGCTTGCAAACTAGTTGTAGCTTGATTCTCCACGTTTGATGTGAAGCACTAGAGTCAGATGCGTCAGCCGATTGTGAAAACAGCATTGAAAACATACACAGCCCACCTTTGAAGCGTGCATGAACCAATAAGTTCCAGATTCAAAGAAACATCATAAACAGCATCAGTAAGTGATATCAAGCATCATGTCATCAACATCAAATAGCATTTTTCTCACAGACTTTACTGCTCAAAATGAGGCTGAGGAGGACCAGCGCTTGGCTGAACGAAAGCAGCGCTTGGTGTCCAAGCGCTGCTTTCGTTCAGCAGAAGATGCAAAAGGCGGTGGTCAAACTTAGTGAAGATGGGATAATCATGGATACGGATAATACATATATAATTAATTATATAATATATAATACATATATATATATTGATAATATGGGTGGATTGGTGAACAAACCAATCCGAGTTTGTTGAGTTTGTGCCTTTCTTTCGGATGCATTTGGAGCGGACATCTTTCGGACATGCCATCCACTGTGCACCATAAGGGGCCTTCACCATCACTCCTCGTAATTGCACTAATTACAAGTTAAGGAAAGACTGGGAATCATCCGCCCAACCCAAGAGGCTAGCTTGGACGAGAAAGCTCAGCTGCAGGCAGGAGACGAAAAGACTGAACAATTGCTGCGGCTTGCAAACTAGTTGTAGCTTGATTCTCCACGTTTGATGTGAAGCACTAGAGTCAGATGCGTCAGCCGATTGTGAAAACAGCATTGAAAACATACACAGCCCACCTTTGAAGCGTGCATGAACCAATAAGTTCCAGATTCAAAGAAACATCATAAACAGCATCAGTAAGTGATATCAATCCACTATATCCATCTATATCCATCCGGCACCTGTGGGATCACCAGGAGAAGCTGCTGATGATCAAGGTGGGAGCAGATCAAGGGGGGAAAGTACCAGAATGTGTAAGAGCTGGAAATGGGAAAAAGGGCTTTAGCCCAAAATTGGGTCGGTTTTTTTCGCAGTGTGGTTGGGGCCATGGGGAAGTGGATGCAGTTGATAGTCAATTGCTGCGCTCCTAGGCCATGTGACCCACAGGCAGCTCCATGGTGCCTCAGTAGTGCCCCATAAAGGGAACGGACAAACATGGACAAACAAGGGCAGAACAAATATTACATCTGACTACATTCTTGGTTCTTTATCATGGCAAGTCTATCCGATGACCCCAGGAGGGAATCCACTTGATTCAGCTGGAATCAGAGAATTGAACTTTCCTCAATGTCCAACGCAGGGAATTTTGCTTTCTCATGTTTTTTCATCATGTGTTGGACTGCTGCCTGTCCAGGTTTTGCCCGCAGAGGAAAAGGGCGTCCAGCTGCACGTGCAGAGGTTTTCGGCAGATTCGACGTTGTGAATCATCACAGCCGGTGCTAAATAAGGTCTTGGAAAACATCAAGGACACACCAAATCAGCTGTGTTACTCTTGCTTCAGTACATGGGGGGTTCAACAAACCCAGGGGTCTCTTTCTTGAAGGGGATCAATCTTCAGGTTTTGGGCCCCCTTCAAGACTGCTCATGTGTCATCCAGACTCAGCAGCTGTGACTTCCGTTGTGCCAAAACATCCAACATGCTTTTGCACCAAAAACATAAATGTTTTGCCAGCTGTGCAAGTGTCGGAAAATTGTAACATGGCCTCCAGCTTCACATCCATATGCCGTTCGAGATTCCGCTCTTCCTTGGCATTTTGTATAATTTGCCGCCGAAAGCTGGAGATTTCCCGGCAAAAGGACGACAGCAGGGATCGAAACACGGACTGCTCGGCTGTCAGTTGGCTCAAACATTTCACCACCGACTGGTGGGCCGGTAGCAATGGCGACAGATTCCGCAAGGCTAAAATTGGAGTCTTGGTTTTCCCAGAATGTTCCATGAAGAAGTGCCCTTCAAATGACAGCGGAACTGTTTCTAACTGAAGAACACAGTGTAACACAGTGTAATCTTGGATGTTTGTTGACAACCGACCTGGCACAACGTGCTCGGGTAATCTTTTGATGAGATTGTGGAGGTGAGACTGCGAAACGGCGTGATATCCGTTGTATCCATGTACAGTATGCGGTTGCAAGTTAGGATGACCACCAGGGGCCAACAAACCCGGGGTCACGAGAACGGTTTGGCAATCTAGGCGTGGAGATGACAATTCTCGGCGGATCCTTTCCGTCAGTTTTTACCACAATTATCCATGATTTCCGATTGATATTTCCTGTTTCTGAACCAGACTCCCACCGACGACTCGTCTAAGGAGAAGGTCTACCACTGGTTCGACACCTTCCACAACACCGAGCCCGAACGGCATCCCGGGAAGACCGGATGTTGCCTGACGCTGTTGATGGTCCCGGCGGTGCTGATCTACGGCATTGTGTGGTTCGTGCAGCATCAGCAGAAACCGCCAGTGGAGACCCTGGTGATTGACTGGTCCATCTCCTATGGACCGTATCCCATGAAGGTGTCCTGTCACGAGGCGATGCCGACACATGAATGGCAGATGGCTAGAAGTCCAAGAGGTCGAATGCGTTGCTCTACATTGGTGCACTTACTGCATAAATACTACAGTGTAGCAAAGAAAATTGGCACGACTTTTTTTGGCCTCCATTGAAAGTTGATGACTATTTTGCCGGCTGAAAGGGGTGTTCGTTATTTCACTTTGACCATAGTAGATATACGTATGGATTTTCTGGATGTCAGTCTCCGGATGACACATGATCACCACACCACCTTGGAGAACCTGCCAGGGAGCGAGTTGCTGGCTGTACCTCTCAGGTTGCGAATCTGAAAGTTCAGGCGGCCCAGTGGTGGCTGATTTTGCCAATTCCTTGAATTGCATCGGGTGAAAGTGTCGCAGCCAGATACAGCTTCTTTCAGCGATTGAGCATTCATTTGAGCCCTCATCCCAGGTTGCAGACTGTGAAAAGAACAAGCAGTGGCAGCATCAAAGCTGTCATGATGCTTAAGAATGGCTTGAAGTAATGTAGTCTGATCAATAGTTGAACTCTCTGGAAATCAAGGCTCATGAAGGCTCATCATGAATGTCATGGCTGCACCATCTTTGGCCTTTTGGTATCATCCAAAGGGCTGCGATCCGCCAGGTAGATGTATTTCCCTGGCAGCCGGCCAAGAACTAGAGCTGCAGATGTGCTACTCCCTAGCCGCCCGAGAAGGCAGCTTGGCGGATGTGGACAGGTGGACAGGTGGACAGGTGGACAGGTGGACAGGTGGACAGGTGGACAGGTGGACAGGTGTATGGAGTTTGTGTTAAGAATTGAGGATTTACATTGATTTACCATCAAGATATATGCAAACCATGTTTTTTTGGGTTACAACCCCAAGTACAACTGCGTTGGTTGGCGGCTTCAAAACTTGTTTCAAATTCTCGGCCGGAGAGCGGGCAACGATGATTCAATGATCCCCGCCACGAGGTCTCCATGCATGGTGGACGGGAAGCAGCAGTGGCATCTCGAATCTTGGCACGACCTGATTGGCTCCATAAATCATCCCGTTTTGGCACACCATTTCCAGTTGCGTTGTCGCTGAAAATGATCTGAGCAAAGCATGGGGCTGCAGGATCTATTCGCAAGCGAAGAGCATGTGGATGAAGCAGGCCATTGAGGCGCCTGGCGGGGGCTGATCACGGCTGATCTCCATTGAAAAGGCGGTGCTAGTAAAGCAATGCCAATATACCACCCATATTTCGATGGTGTTTATACCAGCCACTTCTGGTAAACATCGGGATGGTTTCTTGGTTGACTGACTGTATTGACAGTATTGATTTATATATTGATAGCTTAGGAATACTGATCATCGTAGGTGTCAAATTTGAAGAGCTTGGGACCCATGGACTGAGTCGCTTGGATCCATTCTCGTGTAGTGCTGCAGGCAGGACGTTCGTCCATGACGTACGTGAAGACTGAGGAGTGGATAGGGGGCCCGGCAACGGTAAAACAGACAATTCCCCAGTTTTTTCGCGCAACACAACCAATTTGTCAAGGTTTGGACCACCTGCAGCAACACTGCATGTCACTGCACGTTCTCAGCACTGTTGGCGATCTTCGCCTTTCTCGGTTCCCACCCCCTTGTTGTGTGAGACATCCAAGCATGACAGGGTACCGTCTTCGAGTCTGGTGACAGGACAAGACCAAAGAGTCTGGTGAGTGGGAGCGGCTGCGCCACGAGTGGTTCACCATGTACTTGTCCTCTGAGGCCGCGATTGGCGCGGCCGAGTGGCTTCAATGAGAGTTCTTGGAAGACCAACTAGCAAGTTGAATCACCATTTTTGCAGGATGCCAGGATATAGTCAGGATGTGACTTATTATCAGAACAGTCAACTCAAGTCAAGTTAGTGAGGAGAGTGTGCGTTAGAAGATCATGTTGTTCTGCAAGAATCTACAAGGATTACAGTATGTCTTGTGGCTTCTGAGTGATTTGACTAGGTTCGTGTTTGGGTGTGCTTGTGTGCAGCTGACATCTGACATATATAGGTCGTGCATACGTGCATACATATGAACATAGACACACACACACACGCACGCACATTTACACGCACATTTACTGTACTGCGATGACTGATGTGTGGCAAAGTGATGAGGTGGACGCAGATGGGTATGGGTTAACATTGGGTAGCCCAATATAGAGTAAATGGTTAATAATTAGATGTTAATAGTAACACTAGTCTTTAATTTTGACCCATACTCAGATGCTTTTAAAGCTCCATACTTGGAAGGCTCTTGCGCCAGAGCATAGTGGCTGCCAGGCAGAGTTGGGGCAGATCACAAGCTGTGTTTCGTCGGGGATCTCCTTTATATGATTAGGAGGGTCTGTTTGAAAATTGGGGGATTCAATCACCAGTTTGTGGCCAATTTTATGGGGAAGGTGAGGTTTGCAGCCGTTATTGTTTCTTTTTCCCCATTTTTTTCAGGTAAAACCATGAAGCCTTTGTTGCAGGAGCACCGAAGCGGTGCTTATGCTGCTCAGATCGTCATGAAGCCGGAATTCTATGAAAAGACCCTGGAGAAACTAGATTTCATCGTCTCCCTGATCGGAGAGGCCTGCTGGACAGAAAGGATCCGCAACAAATTTCTTTGGTAATGACACACTCGGCCGTCCCCATGGGTGTTTGGCACACCGTTGAATGCACGCCTGATTTTCGAGGTGGGCGGTGCCTATGGGATCATTTCAACGATCTTCTTCGCCTTGTACATTCTGCTCTGGAATGTCGAGAATGCGAACCTTGGCATCAGACCACACCCTTTTTTTTGAGGTGTCCAATGTCCACAATCTCCAGTACTTGGGCGTTTCAAAATCCTTGCTGAAGGTGTTCCATGTGCACCTTTGAAACACCGTGTGCCATGTCTGGTCATATATCACAGTACTTTGCGTGTGGTTACGTCAAATACATTCTCGAGAGTTTATTTCTGGTATATAGTCATGTAGTATCATATAGTCATGAGTCATATAGTATGCTTAAAAAACGAAATCGGAGCACCACTGTATTGTATCATTCCGTTTCACTCTTTCCTGATTGATCGCCCCACGACCTAGTGATTGTGGCCGGTGTGTTTTCAAACATATACCATACTCTATATTGTTCAGGTCCTATTCCATGATCATTTTGAATGCCCAATGTTTTCCTGCTTTCGAATCTGTGGGCTTGTCTGAATCTGACAAAGGGGGACTCCATGGCTTCTCATCATTTTGCCCCTGAACAAATGGCAATACATTGGGGGTAAAAATGCGTAAAATCCTTCATTTGTGGAGATTTTCATGAGAATCTCATGGCACTGTGGACATTTTCACGAAAATCTTCGCCACATTTTCCGCCATTGGACTGTCCTGGGGCAGGAACCAGAAGAGCCACGACCAAAGTCTACCAGTCACTGCACCAGCGCCTGTGGCCATGGAGCCAGGGGCGGAGATCACGACCACGCCCAAGGCGGTAGCTTGGTGAAATGGCCAAGGGTGACCTGCTGTGGGTCTGCCTTTAAAATGGTGTATACCCGGTATATCCCGGTATACCTGCAATGGGTCTGACTATTTTGAGAGGGAAAATGATGAACAAATTGATTTTCAGACGGATTTTGGCGTGCTCCATTTTCAGACGAATTCATGTGGTGAACTCAATGTTGTAACCCATATCCCATTTACACAAGTTGACCATTTTGGGGACATTCAAAACCATACCAAGAATGGAGTTTGTGTGTGTTTGGGTTTGTCACCTTTACGGGTTACCATTAAAACCCGATTGGTTCTACCAACAACAGTTTGGTGATTTTACAATGGGATATCAGCAACCAACACGCTGTCACAATTTGTTGATGGTTTCGATCCCAGCTGGTTGAAAGCCGTTTTTGACAAACTAACTTAGGGCCTTGGAGCGGAAACTCATGACATATTTGACATATTTGAATCCATTGTGTTAACCTGTTAGCCGGTAGATGCCGGTAGCCTTGGAAGGCTGAATGTTTGGGCCGAGGTGGGATCATGAGCAGTCCATTCCCCCAAAGCCAAGCGGAAAAAAAGGTGAAGGAGCAAACCGCAGGATCCACTGCACCCCATTGTTGATGTTGTTCAAAAGACTTAGTTTTTGTTGGATTGTTTCAATTGCCAGTGCCTGTAATCTGCAGTTTGCTTTCATGAAACTGGATAAATCCTCTCTGAGCTCTTAGGAAGTGACTCCTCCACCACCAACGCGAAGTGCTACTGATGACATGATGGTAGAGCATACCAGGGAGGCATTCGTGTGAGGTGGACACTTTTTGTTCGACTGCTGGAAATCCTCACAGCATCAATTTTGGCGCTGGGACGCCAGTATGTCGCTGGCGGATGAGCAAAAGCTGGCTAGCGGGATATGTTGCTACTAGCTCTGCCACCGCCTTGCCGGGGGCCTTTCTTGGCTTTTGAGTGTGGCTCAAATTTGCTGCGATTCAGGTTGCACAGATGTCCTTACGTTTTTCCGTTTGAACTCGTCCAATTTGAGCCACCCGGCTCTTTTTCGTCCACCCAAAGGGTGGAGGCTTGAATCTTGATCTCAGAGACTGGGTTCAACCCTTGGATCTCTGAGCGGTCGATCCGCAGAAAAAAAAAGGCAGGGCTGGTGGTTGGTGAGGATGAAGGTATGTCTTGGCCCAAAAGGAACCTTGTTGAAAATTCGGACAATTTCATAAATCCCTCACGTCCTTGTCGAACGCATCCATGGGGCCTGAATTTGCCTGAAGTGTTGGCAGTTGAAGTGTTGCTTGGAACTACCACAGCTATAGTTGAATGTGGGCATGCATCAAAATTCTCAGCACCGCCCAAAATGAGAAGCCCGCGGTGGGTCCACCATACTGATGAAGGGTTGATGGACTAAGACCTGCGCAGCCGGATGCCCAGAATGTGACGGACCATGAACATATCTGAGTCCACGAACAAATGGCAGGCCATGAATGGGATTTTGACTGCACAAAACACCATCTTCGCCATCTCTTGATGACCAAGCAAGGAAAAACAACTTCCCAGTTTAGCTTTCAAAGCAAGTTTTACTGATCTTCCAGTGTCGATTCTCCGACGTGGTTGCAGCCATGAGATTCTATGATGGTCGACTTCAAAAAGGCGGGGCCTTTCCCCTTTTGTCCCTTTTGTCATGGCCATTTTATGAGGAACATGATGATCAACCAGAATTTTTAGGATCAAACTGATGGGCCAACCCTTTTCAGACAAACCCATAGATTCTGCTGGAGTCGCTTGGATAGAAGGTGGCTAGCGCCAGTTTGTATCGAGGATTATACTGTCTAAGTGGAGTCTCTTGAGGAAGCTGATGTAAAAACAATCTGCACGACAGGTCGAACAATTATTGATTGATCTGAAGTTGCATTGTTCGCACATTTTCAACTGGCTTTTTTTTGATAACCATTGCTCTCATCAGATATCAGCAGTGCTCCAGACAAGTCCTGAAGTGTTGGTTGCAAGTTGCTATGGATTCACTACCTGGTACCTCAACCCAGAACTAGCTTTCGCAATTGTGTGAGATACAAAAATGTAAACCATCCGATACGAACTGTAGACCCGGGTGTTTACAACCCAATTTGTAACTGGTAGGACAGATCGCTGCACGGTAGGAGGAATTCCAAGTATGGGCATGTCCCAAGATCTAGGACCCCAGATCTACCATTCGATACTTTCGACTTTCGCGCGGAAGCCATCTACGGTTATCCAAAAAAGTTTGTGGAACATTCACATGGACGTATCACTATTCTTGTTGACAACATCTGTACCACACGACCGTTGGTTATACCGTGTTATATCTTTATACCCCTCACTACCCATTTTGATGAGTTCTACTTGCATTTCGGACAGAAGCGCCGATGTGAACCCAGCTGGGTGATGTTGCGTGCAGGTGCCGATAGTCACAGTCACAGCAGGTGTGGAACAAGTTTCTACATGGCTGGAACTTGGAAATCAGAATCTCAACAAAATCTCTATCAATGAAATTTGACTAGAATCACACCATACGCTTTGAATTCGAAATGGTATTAGGACATTTTTGTACAAGAAAAGGTCCTCTTCAGGGCCGCCTTGGCAGGAAATCCACCTCAGCCGGAAAGGATGCGTCCTACACAGCTTTGAAGGAGGCGATGAGAATCAGCAGTAACCAGTAGTGGGTGCTATAAATGAGGGTCAGCAGTAACCATTTTTGAGCTTTTAGTCTTAAACTCTCCACTTTTGGGGACACATAAATTTGGCCGGTGGCTAAATCATCATCAATCATTGAGATGATCACCAAAAGTGGGCACAGCACCACTGCACTGCCAAAATTTCCGTCCAGCTTCCGTGGTCCCAAGTTGCTTGACGTCGCATGCGCAACCATGCATCCATCGAATGGCCGAAGAAGTTCTTTTTTGGACCCCAAATTTCCATTCCAATGGGAAACGATAAGGTTTTCATGGGTGTTCAACCTTTTTCAACCTTTTTCAACCTTTTTCAACCTTTTTCAACCTTTTCCAACCTTTTTCAACCTTTTTCAACCATCGACTCTGCGTTCTCCTCATAACGCAACCTAACACCATGCCAAGCACAGGAGGAGGAAGGCTTGGAGCGGAAGGCACCCGGGCGCCCAGGTTTGAGGCACTGTTGATTACAACTCCCGCTACAAGGGAGTCCCAAAGGTTGAAAACAAGATTTGTGATACGCAACTCAAAAATCCTTTTCTTGACATGCATGATGCATATATATATATATATGTATGTGTTTAGATAGTGACAATACACACATGGCCCAGCCAGGCAGCTGGCTCCGTCCCAGACGAGGACCTGCCCAAGGTGGGGATATTTTTGTTTCTTAACCCCCAAAAGGATAGAACAATAGGCCAGTAAAGTCCCCGAAAAACACATTTTTTTTTTTTTATCCGAGGTTATTATGGCTTGCTATAAACATGGGGTAGCCGTAAAGATCTCAATTGATAGACATTTAGCATCTAACCATTCCAGGATCCAGGGTCAACAAATTTGAGCCATCCCCACATGGTAAAGATGCGTTTGTGAGCCATGCCATTGCTCTAGTTGTTCCTACTATCACTATTGCTATTACTATTGTTATTGTTATTGTTATTGTCATCACCAGCACCATCACCATCACCATCATCATCATCGTCGTCGTCGTCGTCGTCATCGTCATCATCGTCGTCATCGTCATCGTCATCGTCACAATCATCACAATCATCACAATCATCACAATCACCATCGCTATCATGACAGTAGATACATGTATTGATATCATCACCATTATAGTACCTTACCGACATTTTAATTACCATCCTATGATATAATAATTCCTGCAACGATGATATAAACAGACTGGTGCGCACCTCCTGTTGCAGGATTGGTTCCAGTCCATCCATTTTTTATTGGGCGCATTGCATGGGGGTTGCTGGATAAAAAACATGCCCATCCTTTTCGAGAACATCATGATGATTAAGATAGATTGAATGTGATTAAGGCTAACTTCGAGTTTTGTTTTGTTTCCCACTTTTCAAACCAACCCAGATGTCTTTTGGGTGATCTCCTGAGATTTCACATCCCCCTGGAATTGCTGCCATTGCCAGGTGGCAGCCTCCAAGGCGCTGTCGGTGTTGAGCAAGTAGGGGGTCTTGGTTAAGACCTGTGCAGTTTGATGGACACCGATGGACACCGCATTCTCCGGTTTTGGGGCTTTCCTGGTTTTTGAAAAAAGGAGATTGTGGCCTTTTGAAAAAAAAGGAACTTGACGGAATGTGTTTCTGGTTATAAAAGGGCTTTAGTGAATGGTGAAGACCATCCATTTTTTTCCCAGCACTAGACTCCTGTATGACACCATGATCCAATAAATCCAGAAATCTCAATGTGCACAGAATCGCGGTCACCAAGGATGGAGAGCGAGGGCTACTGTTGCATCGAAGCCGATTCCGTAGCTCGACGTGCGATCGACTTTGGGAGGTTCACCCTGTGACCACCGTGTGACCACCGTGTGACCATGGTGCTGGACGGCGAACTGGAGAGTTTTCTACTGGTTTTGAACAGTTGGATTGGCATTTTACAGTGTTTACAATATCATATTTTACTTAATTGATCTAGGTCCCAACAATTGCAGGATTCCCAAGTTTTCAAGGGAGATGGCATCCACAAAGCCTTAGCTGGCCGAAGCGAGGCCGGTCCAGATCTGATCTCCATGATATTGGTCCCATCTTCACTTGTGGGTGTATCAGTTGCTGTATTGCAATTGCTTCAGTCTGGTCTGTCAGTAGACTGAACTCCTATAGCTTTCGGAAAAGTTCAGGCTCAACCTCAAGTTCCCGCCATCCAAGGTGTATGGTGCTGCTGTGGCAATGCCCCAAATTGCTCGAAGCGGGGTGGCCATGTACAGTGTGTGCCATCAGGACATATCTGGACCATTCTGGACCTGTCCAAGATTGTGGATTGCCGATTTGGACACCCAGGTGGTGTAGGAATTCAGAGTTGTCTGTTTCAGTCGCACAGTGTTTTCAGTCACAGTCAAGGCCAAGCACTGCTTTCCCTGGACCATCTACTTCCCAAGATTCCTTGATCTGACTTGGGGTAAACTGATGTAAACTTTACTTCAAAATCTTCAAACTTTCACCAGATTTCATAAGTTCTGGCAGCTCTTCCTTCAGGTTGTGGATGGCCTGGGTCGCTGATTGCCGTGGTGGTCCGCATCTATTTCTTCACCCTGTGGGGATGCCCCGGGGATCCCGGGGGGTTAGCCATGGCGGTGTTGGGAGCGGAGGCACCTTGGCTTGCCGCATGGTGTCACCGAGGTTGAACTTTTTGATGCAAGGCTTTTTATTGTCGATGATCGGAGAGGTGCCTGTTGGGATCCTGTTGTGATCCTGTGGGCATGTTGTGGCGGATGGCTTCTCTTTGTTTGGGGGATGAACCTCGCAACGCCAGGAGCAGCTGATGATGTACCCCTTCGCAGGGCCGGGTGCCATGGTGCCCTCCAAGCTACTTGGGGGTGCAGGTGGGTTTAGTGGGTAGAACCATGGTAATGCCCCCCTATAAACTTGGGATGTAAGAATATATAAGACCTATAACCTATAACTACGTACGGTTATATAATATCCACTTATAACTGGAACTGCACCCCCATGTGGTATATTTAAGGGCTGCCGCCCCTGCCGCCGACCCCGGTAAAGAATCGGGGATTGCTGGTGTCCAAAAACGATGTGGGAAAATACGATGATCAACTCTATTTTTTTTGGACTTTGCATTGCAACTGTTCGAGAAAGTTAAACAATATCTGACAAAATATACCTGACGCAGATGACTTCTAGGCCTTGGGCAGATGCCGCAGTGTTCCAATTTCTTCAAGGGCTGGTGAAACAGGCAAGAGCCGCGAGAAAATTTGGCAAATGCATCATCACATGCAGGATCATGCACGAAGGGCTATGTCAGTAACTGGTGCAGCTTTCGGATCAATTGCAGTTAGGTGCTGGCTGCATGACGAGACAGTTGATAAGAAGCTTGCTCTGAACCCAACAACACATCTATGGTCATTTGGGCCGAGAGACATAAGACCAAATTGCCAAAAGCTATCATGACA